GGTGTCGCGCTTAGCCACTACGCGAAGAATTGCATTAAAGAAATTGCGAGAAAACCACTTTTTAGATTAGACACATTAATTAGGCGGTAATTTTATTATAGAGTATCGATGAGGAAATTTCTTTTGAGTTGGGGAGGGGGGGGGGGGGGCTCAGACGTTCTTACGCGGGGGGTGGGGCTTCGCCCCTACTCGAAGAATTCTATGCACGAAACTCTTCACGCAAACCATTTAGATTAGACAACATTTCCTTTTTTTCAATGTTTCAATGACGTCATTACATTACTGTGTGCACTCTCTGGTTTGAGATTATGTTCTACTCTACGCTAAATGTGTCGACGTCATATTTCGTTTTTCGAATTACTGTGCAGGTTTTTAAATTCCTTGTGTTTTCTCTAGAGCGTTCTTGTCAGACAGATAGATAGATAGATAGATAGATAGAGAGACAGCGAAACTATTATTATAGACGAGAAAAATGGCCCGTTGAGGAAGGATACACCGGGCGCTAGGTTGATAGTGCTGTCTCTTTTCTCTAAACTAAAACCAACCCACCCCCCACACACCACCCCCACCCCCCCACCCCACACACCACCCCCCACCCCCACCCCCTCCACACACCGCCCCCCCACCCCTCCACCCCCACCCCCCAAAAAAAACATGTCTACCGTCCAATTCAACGAAATATAATTATATACTTTTTCCAGTGTCCGCCCCCTCCCAGAAAATTCTACCCCCGCCCCCGAAAATTTCAATTACCCCCACCACTCTCCGGGGAGGAAAAACTCTGAAAGAAACACTGAAACCAACCCACCCCCACCCCCCACACACACACCACCACCCCCCCCACCCCTCCACCCCCCCCCCCCCCCCCCAAAAAAAAAAACATGTCTACCGTCCCATTCAACGAAATATAATTATATACTTTTTCCAGTGTCCGCCCCCTCCCAGAAAATTCTACCCCCGCCCCCGAAAATTTCAAGTACCCCCACCCCTCTCCGGGGAGGAAAAAGTCTGAAAGAAACACTGAAACCAACCCCCCCCCACCCCCCCCCCCCCACACACACCACCCCCCCCCCCGCCCCTCCACCCCCCCCACACACACACCACCCCCCCCCCCCCCCCCAAAAAAAAAAAAAAAACATGTCTACCGTCCCATTGCAAGAAAACCACTTTTAAGATTAGACACATTAATTAGGCGGTAATTTTATTATAGAGTATCGATGAGGAAATTTCTTTTGAGTTGGGGAGGGGGGGGGGGCTCAGACGTTCTTACGCGGGGGTGGGGCTTCGCCCCTACCCGAAGAATTGTATGAAAGAAACTCTTCACGCAAACCACTTAGATTAGACCAAATTGCCTTTGTATTGAATATCGATAATCAATGACGTCATATCAATGTGTGCACTATCCGGCTTGAGATTATTTTCTACTCTGTGCGCTAAATGTGTCGACGTCATACTTCGTTTTTCGAATTACTATGCATGTTTTTATTTTCCTTGTGTTTTCTCTAGAGCGTTCTTGTCAGACAGATAGATAGATAGATAGATAGATAGATAGATAGAGAGAGAGACAGCGAAACTATTATTATAGATTGTAATAGTGTAATAAAATAATCTATGGGATGGCATGGTTGAATTGTAGAGCATACAACTGCTAAAATGAAAGTCTCGTGTTTGAATCCGGGTTAAGTCCACCGAATATCCCTGAGTCCACCCAGCTTTTATGGGTACCTGATCCACATTAAGGAAAATAAAGGCAACTGGGCTGACCAGACTATCCCTTTTTATGCTGAGTTCACAGAAACAGGTGAACTCTACTTCACTTGCCCAGGGGCCGTCAGGTTGGAAAGGAAACTTTACTACTTACTAATAATAATTTATTACTAGGCACACTTTAGTATAACTTTCAATGCAAGCTCGCTATTATTTTAGAATAAATTATGAAGTTTCTCTTGAATAAATCAATTACTTCCTCATAAAGGTTCCACATTTTTTTTACATAGCTCTGTTTTACCTCAGAGTTAAACCCCTTACTTGTTGAATGGACTGCTGGTCACTGAATGTGTTCAAATCAAACAGCTCCGTCACATTAGTGCCAAAGATGAGAGCACCAAACTGAGTCGCATCTTTGCTGACGTTGAACTGTGAGACTAGACGGGATGTGAAGTCAAGCTGTAACTGGTAGTTGCTTCTACCAATACTGCCTGATGAATCCAGCACGAAGACGATGTCCGCCAAAGTGGTACACGGCACAACTAAAGATACAAAAATTTGGTAATCTATCGTTTTGGGTACGTAAAATCGCCCGCGACTAGTAATGTGAAAAACAGGTGACTACTTACATTTTAATAATTATTTCACATTTTGAGAAGGATTTATGTTTTGAAAAATACAAAAATGTTTCCTTGTTTCATTTATGTACCTGTTTTTAAACAATTGAATTAAAACTTTTCAGTAATAAATGAACACCAGCGATGTTTCCAACAGATTCAACCATGCTCATTGACTATAGCAGCCATCTTGTTAAAGTTTTATTTTTATAGACTTATAGCGCGAGATTCAGGCGGAAGTCACTCTATTTTACAAATGGCTGCTGTTTATATAGCAAATCTTGCTTGCAGACACTGCTGTTTAAAGTTAATTTCTGGCCTATATTGATATATTTAGCCATTGATTTAGGTTTATTATTCATTTATCTATAATATTTGACACAAACATATCACAATATACTTCTATTACAGCCTTGACAATGAGGTAACGTTTTCGTACATTAATAGCCGCGGGCGATTTTTTTACGTACCCAAAACGATAGATTACCAAAAATTTAGATTCTTAATTTTGAGAGAACCTATTATAATTTACATAAAACTTGTACTTACCCGTAGGCTAAGTAAAAAAAATTGACACTTTAAACAATTATTGATAGACTGTTGAGAAATGCCCTATCTTTTGTTAAGTGTAGGCTAATGGGTAGGATGATTAAATGTTTCTGTTTGTACAATAAAAACAACGTGAGATGTAATGGATACACCAGCTTGTGTCAAAATCATTGGGTGTGACAGTTCTACTTACTAAACAATCATTTAATGTAAGATGTAATGGATCAACCTGGTAGACAAATCATTTGATGAAAGATGTAATGGATGTACCAACTAGCCAACCATTCAATGTAAGATGTAAGCAAGTACCTACTTATATCACACTGTGTGGTATCAGTCAAGCTAACAACATAACCCTGAGCGCAGGAACAAATGAAACTACCAACAGTGTTGGTACAGTTGTGTTCACAAGGAGGTTTGCTGGATGTACATTCATTGTAGTCTGAAAATGAGTTGATGGATTAAATCATTTTTTCGTTTTGTATTGTTGCTAAAATACTGAATATCTTTGAACACACTGGTAACCTGGCTTCACCTCTAACTTTATTATAAAGCTCTTCTATACTTTCTAAACAAATGTCTACACAAGGACACGTAAGTTACCTACCAACACATTTGGATGAGTTGGTTGTATCGATGGCGTAACCAGCTGGGCAGGCACAGTAGTACCCTCCTTGTGTGTTGATGCAGGACGGACATGGCAGATTGTTGGGGTCAGCACATTCATCAATGTCTGCAAGTTATTGATACATCAATATGTTTAGACGCACATTCATCAATGTCTGCAAGTTATTGATACATCAATATGTTTAGACGTACATTCATCAATGTCTGCAAGTTATTGATACATCAATATGTTTAGACGTACATTCATCAATGTCTGCAAGTTATTGATACATCAATATGTTTAGACATACATTCATCAATGTCTGCAAGTTATTGATACATCAATATGTTTAGACATACATTCATCAATGTCTGCAAGTTATTGATACATCAATATGTTTAGATGCACCTTCATCAATGTCTGTGAGGTATTGATACATCAATTTGTTTAAACTGTTTATATTTGACCACACAAAGTTTTACAGTTATAAGTAAGCTGCCTCACAAACATTTCTGAAAACCTGCTTATTTGAACTTTCTCTTAACAGTATTTATCATAATTATGTAAGCTTTTGGTAAACAGGACTAGTTAGAAATTTCTGTTGTAATTTTATTTTAAAATAGAACTGACTTGTATGTACAGTAAAGGTTTGACATAAAATGGGAGTTACAATAAGGGCCTGTACTTAATATAAGAGAAAACACCAGAGCCAGTCAAAAACTTTAGAAGCTTATTGTTTAGAATTTAAAAATTAATTTTCCAAATTTTATTGTAATTTAAATTGTTGTTGGCCTACATTCAAGCATGTTGTATGAATAAATAACTAACCATAAAGTTTGGTTGTATCCTGATGCGTAACCTATTTACTCAGATTAATTGTAACTTTGAAAGAAAGAAATGCTCTAATAATTTTAGTTTTCTTCAGTAACTAATTAGACTGACCAACACCTTTAATTGTTATGTATGTAATGAAACCGAACAACACATTTAGTGGGATCTGTAACTAATGAGACTAACCAACACATTTAATTATGTAACTAATGAGACTGACCAACACATTTATGTAACTAATGAGACTGACCAACACATTTATGTAACTAATGAGACTGACCAACAGTTATGTAACTAATGAGACTGACCAACACATTTATGTAACTAATGAGACTAACCAACACATTTAGTAGGGTCTGTGCTGCTGATGGTGTAGTTAGCGCTGCAGGAGCAGGTAAAGCTGCCGGGTGTGTTGGTGCAGGTCTGTTGGCAGACTGGACTGCTGGAACTGGTACATTCATTGACGTCTGCAACATTTAACTAATAAATACATCTTCTACACATGCCTATAACTGCCTGTATTAATTCTATTCAGCTAAAAAATACAGCTTTTAATAAACAGAGTTACAAAGCAATTTTGTATTTGTTGTTAATGATTGTTATCTGCATTCTGAAGCAATACAGATACTTCTGTGGCTAATAGATTACCATATAATTTTAATTTAAGATACTAAAATATGAATACTGACCAACACATTTGGTGGGATCTGTAGTGCTGATGGTGTATCCAGCCCTACAGGAACATGTAAAGCTGCCTGCTGTGTTGGTACATGTTTGTTCACAAACTGGACTGCTAGAACTGGTACATTCATTAATGTCTAGAGAAAAAAATTACTTGTAGAATTAAAGAACAGGCTTATTATACATCTGTCAGTTTTGTTGAAATTTGCTTGAAGCTTATATCAACATAAATAAATTATGCTTATATTAACATAAATAGTGTTTATACTAAAATATTTATAAATGTACCATCAGGCCTGTGATATAAAAATGTATTTAGAAATGGGCTAAAAAGTAAAAAATTCCATAAATTAAAAGATTTAAAAATCCATGTAATAGAATTGTATTATATTAAAACAACAAGTATATGATGATGATTATAAAGATGTTATAAAACTTAGATTCAAAAAATAAAATTTGAAATATTTTAACTTTCACTGTTTTAATTTCTAATAAAAATAATATTTTAGTGATCTGCTCAACATACTGACCAACACATTTGGTGGGATCTGTGGTGCTGATGGTGTACCCAGCCCTACAGGAACATGTAAAGCTGCCTGCTGTGTTGGTACATGTTTGTTCACAAACTGGACTGCTTGAACTGGTGCATTCATTGATGTCTAGAGAAAAACAAATTAAAATTGAAAAAAATATTAGTAATATATAGGCTTTGCTGAAATTTGTTTTATTGCCAACATAAACATCAAGTACACATTTATTCCATAATATAAGCCTACCAGTTTGATAACAATTGTTTAGAACCTTGAGCTAAAAAGTACAATGCACCCTAAATTAGAAGATTTTTAATTCACACAATGCAACTGTATTACACTTAATATATATGTAATTAAATCTTCATGAAAACATAACCATCTCCCAAATTTATTTATCAAACTAATTCAAAAATTAAATTATGTTTACTATCATTAATTAAAAGTATTTTTAAGTGATGTGTTCCACAAACTGACCAACACATTTGGTGGGATCTGTGGTGCTGATGGTGTACCCAGTTCTACAGGAACATGTAAAGCTGCCTGCTGTGTTAGTACATGTTTGTTCACAAACTGGACTGCTTGAACTGGTACATTCATTGATGTCTGAGAAGTTTCAAATAGTTTATTGTTGAAAAAATAATGAATTTTTGTATATTAATGTGAAGAATTTCTGATAAATGTTTACAAATTTAAAAATTGATTAAAAAAATCATTTTTAGTTAATAAAATGAATTAAAACATGATGTAGTGTTTATAGTATGAAACCAATATAATTTTATTAATGTTTATCGAAAAGCTTGTTAAAACTGCACTTTTATAATTAGCTTGACTGTAGATTACAAACATATGTTTGATCATGTTATGGCATTTCAATGCAATACCTTGGCAATGAGTTGGGTCTGTGGGGCTAGGCCTAAAGCCAGCATTACCTTGGCACTGAGTTAGGTCTATGGGGCTAGGATTAAAGCCAGTATTATCTTGGCATTGTTGGGTCTATGGGACTAGGCTTAAAGCCAGCATTACCTTGGCACTGAGTTGGGTCTATGGGACTAGGCTTAAAGCCAACATTACCTTGGCACCGTTGGGTCTATGGGACTAGGCTTAAAGCCAGCATTACCTTGGCACTGAGTTAGGTCTATGGGGCTAGGATTAAAGCCAGTATTATCTTGGCATTGTTGGGTCTATGGGACTAGGCTTAAAGCCAGCATTTCCTTGGCACTGAGTTGGGTTTGTGGGGCTAGGGTTAAAGCCAGCATTACCTTGGCACTGAGTAGGGTCTATGGGGCTAGGCTTAAAGCCAGCATTACCTTGGCACTGAGTTGGGTCTGTGGGGCTAGGCTTAAAGCCAGCATTACCTTGGCACTGAGTTGGGTCTGTGGGGCTAGGCTTAAAGCCAGCATTACCTTGGCACTGAGTTGGGTCTATGCCAGTCTATGGGACTGGGCCTAAAGCCAGCATTACCTTGGCACTGAGTTGGGTCTATGGGACTAGGCTTAAAGCCAGCATTACCTTGGCACTGAGTTGGGTCTATGGGACTAGGCCTAAAGCCAGCATTACCTTGGCACTGAGTTGGGTCTATGCTTAAAGCCAGCATTACCTTGGCACTGAGTTGGGTCTGTGGGGCTAGGCTTAAAGCCAGCATTTCCTTGGCACTGAGTTGGGTCTGTAGGGCTAGGCTTAAAGCCAGCATTACCTTGGCACTGAGTTGGGTCTGTGGGGCTAGGCTTAAAGCCAGCATTACCTTGGCACTGAGTTGGGTCTGTAGGGCTAGGCTTAAAGCCAGCATTACCTTGGCACTGAGTTGGGTTTGTGGGGCTAGGCTTAAAGCCAGCATTACCTTGGCACTGAGTTGGGTCTGTGGGGCTAGGCTTAAAGCCAGCATTACCTTGGCATTGAGTTGGGTCTATGGGACTAGGCTTAAAGCCAGCATTACCTTGGCACTGAGTTGGGTCTGTGGGACTAGGCCTAAAGCCAGCATTACAGGAACATGAGAAGCTGCCATTTGTGTTGGTACAAACTTGTTGACATGGGGAGTTGGATGAATCAGCGCATTCATTTATGTCTGTTGGGGAGAAACAATTTTCTACGTCAAAAATATTGTTTAGCTCAGTACATAAGAAAATGTCTATTGAAATATTTCCTTGGAATATAATTATCATGCTAATTATGCTATTGATCATCTCCTGCTAAATAATCAAAAATGATAATCAACCTATTTATTTATATTGGACCATTGTATAAATGTGTTAAATAAATGCAAGCCTAAACAGAGTTCAGCCTGAAGTAACCAATTTGTGATTACCTTGACATTTGCTTGGGTCAGTTGTACTGACCATGTAGCCAGCATTACACGAGCAGGTGAAACTTCCATTGGTGTTTGTACACTTCTGCTGGCAGGGGGAGCCACTGCTTGCTGTACATTCATTGATGTCTGGGACATAAATATGTTTATGTTGTTATTGTTATGGGTTGATATAGCTGAGGTGAGAGACTAAATGCTAGTTATGTCAGGAATTTATTGCACATTTTTCACTATCACTTATCTTCCCAGCAGAAGTGGGTACATGTGACTAGATGGATAGAAAATGTGAGGTGGCTAAATTAAAAGACCAAAGTTACCTCCCTTGAATCACAAGTAAATTTTACTTTTGTTATCAATTATTTAATAGATTTAACTTAGATTTTTTTAGGCTAAATATAGAATTTCGGTGTGGTAGCTTGAAATGTTTGGTAACAGAAGGACTACTCTAACCTTGACATTTAGAGGAATCTGTGTCGCTGACTGTGTAGCCAGCAGAACAGGAGCAGACGTAACCACCAGCTGTATTGGTGCAGGTTTGTTGACAGGGGCTGGGTGTAAAGCTGCATTCATTTATATCTGGACATAAATTTGGTATAACTTTAATGATTGTAAAAACATCAATATTGCTATATTGCATAAGAATAGTAGACATATGAGGCAGAGTGGTCATGCAGTAAAAATGTATCTGAATCTAAATCCTGAATTTCAAATTTGTAAGTCTATTAACACTTTAAATCCCTATGCAAATGCATGCTTTTAAATATACACAGACAAAAATGAAAACTGTATTACTTACACCTATGTCAACATATTAAGAGTTTATATTAATTAACACTCAACTACTGTTATAGAGAGAAATGACCAATACTGACCAATACATTTAGTGGAGTCTGAAGGGTCAACTCTGAAGCCAGGTGTACAGGAGCACCAGTATCCACCCACTGTGTTGGTGCACGTCTGTTGACAGGGAGGGTTCTGTGTGTTGCTGCATTCATTGACATCTGTACACATCAAAACACAGTATAGGGGTCAGGACACATGTGTTGTCAATGTTGATGTGTTCACTAACTTAACATGGTCTGTCTTATAGGGGTCAGATTTCACATGTGTAGTGAGACTATGTATTCACTAACTTAACACATGGTCTGTCTTATTGGGGTTAGTACACATGTGTTGAGACAATGTTTATGTGTTGACTAACATAGTACACATTTTATGGAGATTAAGTTGATGTATTCACTAACCTACACACTTGGTTGGGTCACTAGGACTGGATACATATCCACCTCTACAATAACAAGTGTATCCACCATCCGTATTCATACAGAGTTGTTGACATGGGTTTGTAGCACCAATGCACTCGTTAACCTCTGTAAGATGATGTAAATATCATGTTAAGTTGCCCACAAAAACCCACAATTTTACTGTTTCAAGCAATAGGTTCACCCCTTTCTAAACTGATTTAATGATTGTATTTCATATCACAACATGCAAGTTAGACAACTATTGTAAACTAACAACAAGGCATTTGTTTTGATATATATTAACGACAGACCAACACAAAAGTGACTTGTCAACTGTTTACAAACTAAAAGTTTAATAATCCGATTACCATCACATTTAGTGGGGTCGCTTGAGCTGGTAATGTAGCCATCCCTGCAGGTACAGTTGTAGCTTCCCATTGTGTTGATACAATCCTGTTGACAAGGGCTGGTGAACACATTGCTGCACTCGTTGACATCTGTGAGAAAACAAATTTTACAGTACTGTTCTGTTCACAAACTCTAACAGGGCTGGTGAACACATTGCTGCACTCGTTGACATCTGTGAGAAAACAAATTTTACAGTACTGTTCTGTTCACAAACTCTAACAGGGCTGGTGAACACATTGCTGCACTCGTTGACATCTGTGAGAAAACAAATTTTACAGTACTGTTCACAAACTCTAACAAGGGCTGGTGAACACATTGCTGCACTCATTAATATCTGTGAGAAAACAAATTGTACAGTACTGTTCTGTTCACAAACTCTAACAAGGGCTGGTGAACACATTGCTGCACTCATTAATATCTGTGAGAAAACAAATTGTACAGTACTGTTCTGTTCACAAACTCTAACAGGGACTGGTGAACACATTGCTGAACTCATTAATATCTGTGAGAAAACAAATTTTACAGTACTGTTCACAAACTCTAACAAGGACTGGTGAACACATTACTGCATTCGTTGACATCTGTGAGAAAACAAATTTTACAGTACTGTTCTGTTCACAAACTCCATTCATTAGGCAACAAAAAGTAAAAAAGTTTCCCTTTCAAACCAGACGGTCTATGGGGCAAGTGAAGTAGAGTTCACTTGTTTCTGTGACCTTGGCATATGAAGAGATAGTGTGGTCAGCACTATGGCCAGCCACATAAATTGCTGGGTGGACAGGGATGTTCTACTGACTTGGACCTGGATTTGAACTCGAGACCTACAAGTTAGCAGCCATGTACTCTTCTGCTTAGGCCACGGTGTCCCATAATGATTACTGTATAATCAATAATTTTCCTGGATTTATTTTAGCTGAAAAGTTTTATCTCAATAATACTTATTCTAGTGCAACTGTTTTTTGTTTACATAAAAAGTATTTGTTTTTTATATTTTATCAGGGGTTGTTACCTTCACATTTGGAGGGATCCGTTGGACTGACTTTGTACCCAGTCCTACATGAGCAGGTGTAGCCACCGTCATAGTTACTGCAGGTTTGTTGACAAGGTGGGTTGCTAAGGTTACTGCATTCATTGATATCTGTAGAAACAAAATGTAATACACTTTTCAAAGGGATATGTTAACATTCGCCATTATGTTACAAAGTAGTTCCTGTGGTAGGTTTTCGTCATAATAAAGAAAAAAAAAACTAAATGTCTAAACAATTTTATTTATAAACCCATTTTCAACAAAAATAGAAACAAATTTATACTTAAACTAATGTTTTGGATTAGAAAATGGTTAAAGCTGTACGGTACAAAATGTAGGCAACAATTGATACAACTATAGGGTAGAAAACGTAGGCACCATGGCACTGACCTATACACCTAGAAGGGTCTGTAGGGCTGACTTGGTACCCAGATCCACAGGAACAATAAAACCCACCAACTGTGTTGGTACAGGTTTGTTGGCAAGGGAGAGAACTGCATTCATTGATATCTGTTGGTGGCACAAGGCATTTCATTTTCAAACAGATAAATTAAAATATATTTTTTTATTCTAGCATATTGATAAAGTTTTTTTGGACTGTTAGGTAATTCATATTTAGTTTAAACTATAAAACTTAATTAATTTAGAAATCTATTGTTAAGTAGAGTAGCTGCCCCTTACCATCACATTTAGTAGGATCCAGAGGGTTGACAGTGTAGCCATTTCTACAGGAACATGAGTAGCTGCCTACAGTGTTGGTGCAATATTGCTGGCACTGGCTCATTCCATTGCTGCATTCATTCACATCTGGAGGAGACAATACACTACATTACTTACTAGTATGTTCTTAAAGAAATTAATTTTTACATTTTTGAGTTTTGTAAATGGCTGCCATTAGGAATGCTACAGATTATAACTGACCAACACATCGAGTTGGGTCTGTAGGACTGACAACATAACCAGGCCGGCAGGAGCAGACATAGCTTCCAGGTGTGTTTGTACAAGTCTGTTGGCATGGCGACGCAATGCTGCACTCATTTATGTCTGAAACAAAGTTTCATGACAGTTACTGCTCACATGTATCTTGAATGATTTCATACAAAAATAAGCCAAAAAATTAAATCCTTCGAGTACAAGAACTGGGATATAAAGTTAAGCAGAAACAGACTGTAGGAAAAAAAGACCTACCTGTACACCTGGTTGGGTCACTCACACTGACACTGTAGCCAGCCCTACAGGTGCAAACAAAACTTCCAAAGGTATTAGTGCAGGTCTGTTCACAAGGTGAGCCAAGGGTACTGGTGCACTCATTGATATCTGAAGAAGAAACAGATGCTATTTCTTATTTTAGTGTTACTAGTTGGACATGGGACTGTGTGGCCTAGTGCTAACCCGAAATTCTGGAGTTCAAATCTGGGTTCAAGTCAGTAGAATGTCCCTGAGTCCACCCAGCTCTAATGAGTACCTAACCCCTATTAGGGGAAGGGGGCTGGGCATAGTGCTGACCACACTATCCCTTCATCTGCCTAGGTCAAAGAAACACGTGAACTCTATTTCACTTGCCCCATGGACCGTCAGGTTCAAAAAGGGAACTTTACTTTGTACTAGTTTGAAATTATTTTGGTCACATGAGTTTAAAATTTGAGAAAAATGTACTCATAAAAATACTGGTATTGAGAGTGATTGATGATAGATTACAGTAAGAAAAAACTTACCTTGACAAGCTGAAGAGTTAGTCACACTGACAGCAAAACCTGTCCTGCAGGAACAGGTGTAGCCTGTGGCAGTGTTGGTGCAGGTTTGTTGGCAGGGGGAAGTACTGCAGTCACCTGTTAGAGTAAATCAAGGGATGGACGAACTATTTCACAGTAAAACAAATTGACGCAGTGAGTAATATCACTGCATAGCATGATACAAGGTAAGGTTATGTTGATATTATTTACATCTAATATTTCCATACAAATTGTAGTCCAGTTCCTAATTTTGAAGATTTAAAATTAACCTTACCTGTTCTTACTGTCTGCACTGAAATGTAAATAAAGACAATGACATTAAAATACAAGTAAAAACACAGGCTACATTAAACAATAAAATTTTACTTTGCATTTATTGGAAGCCAAAAAAAAAAATTGAGGGAAATATAATTTGGCTTGTTATTGATGTAATCCATTGACTACATTCAAACCAACTTGGCTAAACCATCAAACCATTATGTGTATCTAAATTAAATTTATGCTAAGTTCCAACGTACCAACACATTTTGTGGGATCAGTAGCACTAACAACATAGCCAGCAGTACAGGAACATGAGTAGCCTCCAGCTGTGTTCACACAAATTTGTTCACAGGGTCGGTTGACAGTGGATGCACATTCATTGACATCTATACAAGTTCATGTCAACAAAGGTTATACAGTACAAAATTCAAGTTTACTTTGATGTTAACAAAGGTTAGTAAGAGCAAATATATGAACTGAAGACAGAGTTTCTTCCAGCCCCCCCCCCCCCAACGAAATGAAATTTATATAATTTATATAGAAAATATATACTTTTAACAGTGTTCCCCCCCCCCCCCCCCCAGAGTCTGGAAGAAACACTGACTGAAGATAGTAACGAAATAAGCATAATTGATATCATAAAATGATGACTTGAAAACGGACCATGAATGAGTCTCACTTTTTAAAAGTTGTTTAATAAACTTACCAACACAGACTCCATTGCTGTATACATAACCGCTTCGACAAGAGCAACTGTAGCTCCCAATTGTGTTGGTACAGATTTGTGGACAAGGGGAGGTCAAACATTCATTGATATCTGGTAATAAAATACAGGGTTATCTTCACTATATGGGAACTCAAACACTCATTCATATCTGGTAATAAAATACAGGGTTATGTTCACTATATGGGAACTCACACACTCATTGATATCTGGTAATCAAATACAGGGTTATGTTCACTACATGGCAATAGAAAAAATCCACTACATTCACTAATCACCACTTGAGTTTAATAACTGACAATAATAAATAATTTAAATACAAGGGACTTTTTAAAAAGTTTATTGACATTCAATGACTTAAAAACCATAACAAAATTTCAGTCAACTGTTATGTAGGACATACCAAACTTTATATAATGAGGTTTGAGAAATAAACTGTGATGGGCTACTTTAAACTTTAGGGACCAACAACCTGTGTGTAACTTACCAACACATTTAGATGGATCTGAGGGGCTGGTAGTGAACCCTGACCTACACGAGCAGGTGAAACTTCCAGGTGTGTTGACACAGTTCTGTTCACATGGAGGACTGGCTGTGTTTGCACATTCATTGATATCTGTCAATATATCATCATTGGTGAATCCATGATATAATTTACAATCTAGTTTTGTTTTCATTTTCTCAATCTAATTTTGTTTACAATTTCTCATTGTTTCTATTGTTACATTTATAAGTAAATATGTTAATTAAAAAAAAAAAATCTTTAATTCCCATAACTTATGAAAATTACGTCATACATTATTTAACAATACATAGAAGAAATTATATCTGCTTATTAGCCAGGGCAGTACAAGGTAATAAGATTAAATTCTTGTTAGGGCAAATTCCTACACCATAAGGCTAGTTATTTCCAAGGTATAACAAAAAAGGAAGATTTCAATTCTATCAGTGAGTCAGCAGTTAAGTTATAAACAGTTACAGTCTCTAGGCTAGAGACTTACCAACACATTTGGTGGGATCTGTAGCACTGATTGTGTATCCTGATCTACATGAGCAAGTGTAGCTTCCAATTGTGTTGGAACATATCTGCTCACATGGTGGATTTGTTGGGTTGTTGCATTCATTTATGTCTGCAAACATTGTTTTAGAATTAAATAGGAACATTGTTCAGACAATATTTGTGTCTATGATTGTTGTAATTTAATGTTATTGTTTTGAAAGTATATATAAACATATATATATACAAGTAAGCCTTGAGTTTTAAGACAGGCAGGTGGTCAATAGTAAAAATATTATAATAGGGCATATGATAAAACACTATAACTTATGTTTATAGATTATAAATAATCATTATTATCAATGGTAGGACTGAAAAACAAAGGTCAAAGAGTCTAAGAATAAAGATAAAAGAGTTCATACAACATAATAAAATGAATTATTTTGCTTTTGGCTTTAGACTTAAGAGTAAGACTTAGTATACTAAGTCTTACTCTTAAGTCTAAAGCCAAATAAAATAGTAGATCTAAGTAATTAGATTCTAGTTTAATAGTTTTAGAGTAGTTTTAGTGTTTTAGTTTTAGGCACTTACTTTTTTAGGACTATCTTTAAAAAATATTTTTTTAATAGATCTGGATGTAGACTAGATTCTAGATTTCTAAGACATTGTCTAAATCTAGAATCTACATTTAGTTTTAAAAAATGTTTTATTACAGTTTAAAAGCTTTTTACCTATACTAGATATAGATCTAGATTCTAGATCTACATTCTATATCATCACAGTTAATAAATTACTTCAAATAAAGGCGGATGTAGACTCCATACCTTGCCAGGACACAAAGCAAAAATATAGATATAAATCTCCTAAAAAAAAATGTCATTTGCTGAATTTCTTCACTAGTGCTAGTGTTTCCTAGAGGTTTAAGATGTAGATCTAGATCTAAGTAATAATAGTTAAAACGTTATAATATGTTATCGCAGTCAAGGGTAGGGTTGAATCAAAATGTCAATATGTTCACACTCCTTGACTATTTTCTTTTAAATCTAACCTTGGCATTTGGTTGGATCAGTTGCGCTGACAGCATATCCCGGCATGCAAGAACAGCTATAACCAGTGTTTGTATTTGTACACGTCTGCTGACAAGGGGAAGAACTGCAATCTACACCAAACAAAAATCCTGTTTATAACATTTTCAATATATCGCACATCAGACTATTTATTCCCATATACATTTGAACATGAATTTAACTTTATTGCTGATTTAAATGAACCCAAGTTGTCCTTTTTAGAAAACTGAAACAAAGTACCACTTCCGGTTTAAATTTTTCGCACAATCGCCCCTCCCCCGTATACGATAAAGGAGAAATACGTTAATAAATACTCACCTAGGCTATTAAATTAATTACATTACTGTAAGTGTAAACTTACCATTTCGCACAGTCCCCACTGAAGAAAAATTAAATATTATATTAAGAACAATTAATTTATGGGTTCTCTTTGTAGGCCTAATTAAAAATGTCAATTCAATAACAGTTTAACAAAATAAATATTTTCACAGTTACTGCTCACAAAAACTTTGAGTTTTAGCAAAATCTTTAGGTTTAAATCATAGTTTTTTTTTTTTTTTTTTTTTAAAAAAACGTGTATTCCGTATTTTTTATATACATTTTATTGGTGCTTTGAATTGATTTCACGAATATGTGTTTGCATTTTAAGAACTTTGCAAATAAATCACATTTAAAGATTTCTGTCTGTAAATGAATAGAAACATCCGACTTACCAACACATTTGGACGGATCTGTGGAGCTGACCACATACCCGGATGTACACGAGCACGTGTAGCTGCCCAGTGTGTTCGTACACACTTGCTGACACGGGCGGTTAAAGGCTACAGCACATTCGTTGATGTCTGTTAAAAAAAAGTTTGTTTACAAATCAAAATAGTTGTGTGATTGATCCATACTGATACGGAACTCATATAGAAATTAGAATCTACTTCTAAATAGCTTTGTTTACTTCTCAACGTACCATGGTACCTAACTCACTGTATCAATAAGACCTTACCTAAGCACTTGGTAGGGTTACTGCTACTGATGATGTAGCCAGTAGCCAGTAGTACATCTTACCTAAGTACTTGGTAGGGTTACTGCTACTGATGATGTAGCCAGTAGCCAGTAGTACATCTTACCTAAGTACTTGATAGGGTTAGTGCTACTGATGATGTAGCCAGGAGCCAGTATTTGATCTTACCTACACACTTGGTGGGGTCAGTGCTACTGATGATGTAGCCAGTAGCCAGTAGTACATCTTACCTACACACTTGGTGGGGTCAGTGCTACTGATGATGTAGCCAGTAGCCAGTATTTGACCTTACCTACACACTTAGTGGGGTCAGTGCTACTGATGATGTAGCCAGTAGCCAGTAGTACATCTTACCTACACACTTGGTAGGGTCAGTGCTACTGATGATGTAGCCAGTAGTACATCTTACCTACACACTTAGTGGGGTCAGTGCTACTGATGATGTAGCCAGTAGCCAGTAGTACATCTTACCTACACACTTAGTGGGGTCAGTGCTACTGATGATGTAGCCAGTAGCCAGTATTTGACCTTACCTACACACTTAGTGGGGTCAGTGCTACTGATGATGTAGCCAGTAGCCAGTATTTGATCTTACCTACACACTTGGTTGGGTCAGTACTATTGATGATGTAGCCAGTAGGCAGTATTTGACCTTACCTACACACTTAGTGGGGTCAGTGCTACTGATGATGTAGCCAGTAGCCAGTATTTGATCTTACCTACACACTTGGTTGGGTCAGTACTATTGATGATGTAGCCAGTAGGCAGTATTTGACCTTACCTACACACTTGGTGGGGTCAGTGCTACTGATGATGTAGCCAGTAGCCAGTATTTGATCTTACCTACACACTTGGTGGGGTCAGTGCTACTGATGATGTAGCCAGCCCTACAGGAACATGCGTAGCCAGTGTTTGTGTTCTGACAAATCTGTTGACAAGGCGCGCCGACACAGTTCCCTACGGAGAAATGTTTTTTTTTCTCTAAATACATCGTTTGTAAGTAAAAGCGTTGAGAGTTAGTCATTATAGAAATATTATCAAACACCAGAAGATTAGGAAGTCAAAGAGTAATACAAGTCTAAATAATAAACCAACAGTTTTGTTATGTTTTGCTATTTGTTTTCCTATGATCACGGCCAATCAGTGATTACTTAGAGCTGTAAATTTTGTGATGTGCTAAATAGATAGGTATTTTATGTTTAATTTTTTTTTTCGTCGACTCTGCATATCCAGTTCTAGATATGTGGGCACTCGTTAACTTACCGAACGGTTTTACTGTGGTAGGTGTTGTTGTAGTAGGTACACTCGTCATGGGCTTTACAGTGGTGGGTGACATAGTAATTGTCTTTATAGTGGTGGTAGTTTGTGTCGTGGGCTTTGCTGTTGTCGGTGCTGATGTAGCTGAAATGTAGGAGGACATCGTGAACAAATACCATACAGCAGATTAATGGAGATTTAAATTATTCATGTGACGTCGCCGATAAATCCCGTTGCCACGCCCTTTTTATTTACATTAAATTAGAAAACTGTTTTAAATTCTGGATACAGTTTGTTTATCACATTATCTTGTATTAAGAGCGAGCTCAGTTCTCTAGATGCGAATGAAGTGAATAGTTCCTGGCAACCCCAGCTCTCTAGACGCGAATGAAGTGAATAGATCCTGCTACTTACTTGCTGCAGCACATCCGAGCTTGTTGGGACCAGCAGCAGACGTGAAGCCGTCGCTACAGCATCCATAAAGTGAGGTGGAGCAGCCGACACTGGACAGACCAGCACCTAGACATAACATTCAATTATTGAATGGTTAGTGTTCACTCCATGGAGAAAGTACAATTTGAAATCACGTTATTCGTATTAGGTACATGCTGTTCTATAGTGGGAGGTTTGTTCAATTTTTATTCGTTTTCCTTCCTTATAAGGTAGCAATCTGTTGCTTAAAATATTGCTTAGTTAGCAATCCACCATGACGAACAGAAGACAATTAATTTTGAATGATAAAAAAATGTGTCAAAAGTATTTCGCAATTATAATTTAATTATAAGACACACTATTTTGTAAGTTTTTTAAAAGTTAACTTAAAGTCCCTAGCATGACTAAGAAGATGGAACATTTCACTAAATTTAACTTAAAAGCCCCTAGCATGACAGAAAAGATGGAACATTTCGTTAAAGTTAAGTCCCTAGCATGACTAAGAAGATGGAACAATTCGTTAAAGTTAACTTAAAAGCCCCTAGCATGACTAAGAAGATGGAACATTTCGCTAAATTTAACTTAAAAGTCCCTAGCACGACTAAGAAGATTAAATATTTCGTTAAAGTTAACTTATAAGTCCCTAGCATGACAGAAAAGCTGAACCATTTCGTAAAGTCAAGTCCTTAACATAACAGAAAAGCTGAACCATTTCTTCACCTCGGCAGACGCGGTACGACATTTTCTTATGCAGCTCCTGCAGGGTGTCGAAGGTCGGTGCCAGATACACATCGTCTGGGCTGCTGGCGATTGCCTGGAGCTCTGCTGTGGACGCCAGACCAATGCCCACTGCCAGAACTGTCACTCCGCTAGACTTGAGACGCTGGGCAGCGGCCAATGCTGAAAATTAGAAGTTAAATATTTCCAAGGCTTTTTGGTTATAGACTGTCAATGGTATCCAGATTGTTCTCTCGCGTGCATTTTTGTTTGTCACCTACTGTCTTTGGCTTGATGCTCAAGGTATTGTTACATTTCACTTAGTCTAAGTTAACCATTGCCCGTTAACGGTCAAATCCTCAACTGTCCTGTACCAACGTTAACAGATGACAATGTAAGTTTCTTACTTGCAGCTCCGTCCTGGGACATGCCGTCTGTCATGACAATAACCGTGTCGTTGACCCCCACTCGTGCGCCGTTGGTGGTTGAAAACATCAAGGAGTCAACAACCAAGTTGAGGGCCTTAGATGTTGCCGTCAGTCCTTTGAAATGGGGGATGGACAACAGGGCCTAACAGACAGAAAATATGGTTATTTCATCTTAAAAATATTTTTACACGAGAAAGATTTATCTCAATAGCTGAGTAACAGATAAGATTTAAGATGTTACGAGACCGACATTTAAAGCTTAATAAGGGAATCAGTATGTGTGAGTTATTTACAACTCCATGAAAAATGAAATCATACGTGGAGCATGTCAGGTAGGTACTCTACAGTACCTTACCTGTAGTCTGACATACCTGGAGCAAGTCTGGTAGGTACTGTAGAGTACCATACCTGTAGTCTGACATACCTGGAGCAAGTCTGGTAGGTACTGTAGAGTACCATACCTGTAGTCTGACATACCTGGAGCAAGTCTGGTAGGTACTGTAGAGTACCATACCTGTAGTCTGACATACCTGGATCGAGTCAGGTAGGTACTGTAGAGTACCATAGTCTGACATACCTGGAGCAAGTCTGGCCGTGTCGTGTAGTCCTTCAGGTCGAACATCTTCTTGGCGTTGTCGCTGAAGATGACGAGACCGACGAGGACGTCTTTGGTGCTGATTTCTACCGACGTGGCCAGGTCTCCGATGAACTGGATCTGTTTCTGGTAGTTCTCTGGCGTGATACTGGCCGAGGAGTCCATCACGAAGACCAGGTCACTCTGGCACCGCTCTGAGGAATCAGGACACACTGTGCTTTACTTTGTTTGTCTCAATTACATTTTTTTAAAAAACAAATTGTTATTTGATTATTTAAATTGTATTAGATGTGTAGGAACAAGTAAACATAGATGCTAAATTCAGCTCTTACAATAATTAAACTCGAACTATGGGGCAGGTAAAGTTCACCTGGTTCAACCTCGAACTTTGAAGGTATAATGTGATGATCACTATGCCCAGCCGCCTTTACTTTCTCTAACGTGAATCAGATACCCAACAGAGATGGGTAGACTCATAGACATCCTACAGACTCGAGACTTTCAGTTAGCACTCTAACGCCCTACAACTCGACCACGAAGCCTCACGTTTCAGATTCAGCACCATATTATTTGAATCTCTGACTTACCACAGCCAGCTTTGTTGGGACCAAGAGCAAAAGATTTGCCATCATAGCAGCATCCGTAGTTACTCTCTTCACAGTTTCCTAGAGCTGCAAAACATTAGGAGGGACAACATGGTAATGGTAGCAATCACTCTGGTGCAGTGTTTCTTCCAGACTTTTTTTCTCCGGGAGGGGGGCGGACACGACGAAGAGATGCCTGGAAGAAACTCTGCTCTGGTGTTTTCTAAAATATTTTGTCTTATCAAATGACTTCAATGGTGGTTTTCTGACACAAACCAATGACTGCATGACACCCTGACACAAACAAAACATGACTGTATGACCGACCCTGACACAATCCAATGACTGCATGACTTACCCTGACACAAACCAATGATTGCATGACTTACCCTGACAAAAACAAAACATGACTGCATGACTTACCCTGACACAAACCAATTACTGCATGACTTACCCTGACACTAACAAAACATGACTGTATGACTGACCCTGACACAAACAGAACATGACTGCATGACACCCTGACACAAACAAAACATGACTGCATGACTTACCCTGACACAAACGCTGCTCCACCTGTAGCTCAATGGTCTTGAGGTCGACGAACGAGGGGGAACGGAACACATTTTGAGGACCGCCGGCGATGGCTTGCAGCTCAGCATCAGACGACAGGCCTATACCGATGGCAATGATCTGCACGCCCTGGGCCTTCAGGCGCTGGGCCGCCTCGAGAGCTGAAACATGCGTATGGCTGGCTTGGTTATAGGCGTATGATAGACTTTATGGTCTTATAGACAGACATTTGGGTTTTATAGCTGAAACATGCGTATGGCTGGCTTGGTTATAGGCGTCTGACAGACTATGGTCTTAAAGACAGATATTAGGATTTTATAGACAGACTTTACGGTCTTATAGACAGACATTAGGGTTTTATAGACTCCATTGCTGAAACATGCGTATGGCTCGCTTGGTTACAGGCGTCTGATAGACAGACTCTACGATCTTATAGACAGACATTAGGGTTTTATAGCAGACATTACGGTCTCAATAGACAGACAGCATGACGATTCTTACTTTCTGAAACTTTTCTTCTATTTTAACATATTTTTTTGTGTGGATGAAAACAACGACATGAATGAAAACACACAAGACTGGCACATTTGCTAATCAATGACTTGTGTTCAGCCAGGCTTACATCCCCTTACTCGCTGTGTTATTGTTGGATACGCCGTCTGTCATCAAGAGCATGATGTTGGGGGCTTGGATTCTCTCCCCTGCCGGAACGCTGAACATTTGTGTGTCGACGACTAAGTTCAGGGCCCTGTCTATGAATGTCAGGCCTTTCATATAGGGAGCAGTTTTCAAAGCCTGGGGAAACAAAATATAAAGTAACGCAGTTTTCACGATTTTTCCGACGTTTTCTTTAACTTGCTTTCGCGTCTGTTTTTTTTTTCCAATCAAATCTTCCGATCGAAGTTTCGGGCACTTCCTGGTTAGCTAGCGCGCTGAAATTTTTAGGGAAGGTTTGTTTCCGATGACAATACAATATTCAATTATTATTACTACTAAATTGATCAATGGGAAACTTGTATTGATCATTTTAGACTCCTATTGATTTGTACCAAAAAAAGGGACATAACCAAGTAATTGTAATTTGACGAACACAAGGTTCGGTACTTTCCCTCTTCAGGCTTACTGAAGGAGCGAGCACGCGATTGGCTGAGTAGTGGTCACGCGGTGTTTGTGTACAAACCTATGCAAATCTGACTGATCAGGAAGTAGAATGTTGATGGTTGAATGGTTTGCACGCGAGGGCAAAATGGTGAAAGAAACGGCAACACAGAAGAAACGTCGATTGGAAAAGGCACGTGTTTTTTACGAATTGTCTTCGTTTACCCAAAAAAAAAAGTGAATGCGAGAAGATAAAATCGATAGCAAGATTTGAATGCAAACAAACAGACAAAGACTAAAAAGTAGAAAATAATTATCATTAAAAAAGTTTTTAAAAACCCACGTTTTCTGATTGAACTAAAAAATAGAAAATAAATGCTATACATCACAATAATGCAAGCGATTACTCTACTATAAGCGATCGCAAACTGCGTGCGCATTATGACAAAAAATGAAAAACGTGGGGCGCCGTGATTTTCTTACAGTTTTTAATACTGTTGACTCTCTACAAGCTCCCTCATAAAACTCAATAGTATTATCTAATCAATAGTAATATAACTTTTACATCTTATATTAACAATGACCGATAAAAAAACTTTTACTTCGGCGCCCCACGTTTTTCTTTTTTTGTCATAATGCGCACGCAGTTTGCGATCGCTTATAGTAGAGTGATCGCTTGCATTATTGTGATGTATAGCATTTATTGTCTACTTTTTAGTTCACTCAGAAAACGTGGGTTTTTAAAAACTTTTTTAATGATAATTATTAAAACACAGGAAACGGATGACTTAAAAGTGTTCAGTTATTCAAAGTCTGTAGCTGTATAGTTTCTCATCTAAATTTGAATCCAGCTGCTTCTATCTTGAACATTTACATGAGAAATTTAACCATCAAATAAAAGGTTGTTTTTTTTTACCGATAAAGTAAGTCAAATATAGCTGGGAGATAATTTCACGCAGAGTTATTTGAATGTAGATAAATCATATTAAATAATCATTAAATGAAATGAAATTAAAACATACATTTCTTACACTTTTTATTTGTATTTGCTTTAACCTAAGTAGTTTTTAATAAGATTATTATAAATTTAAAAAAAATGGAATTATTGTTAGAATCTTTAATCTGAAGGTTTTGATCCTGTGTCTGTATATTTATCTCCTGGTTTCCCGGAAAAATACGCAATCGGAAAACTGCGCAACGGAAAACTACGCAACGGAAAACTACGCAAACAGAAAAACGCGCAAATACAAACTAATTATACTAATAAACTTTAACTTAATTATATTTGTGGAGATATGTTTAATTATGCTACAATTTTCACGTAGTCACTCTTTAATAATGTCTATCGATGCTCGATTCAGTAAAATAAAAATGCCACTAGCGCCCTTTTTTTTGTGCGCAGTTTTCCGTTGCGCATCTTCCGGTCTTCTGTATTACCTGTGCGATAGAGGCCGAATCTTGTAGGTCCTTCAGGTCAAACAACTTATTGGGGTAGTCGCTGAACACGACTGCACCAAACTGTACAGCGCTCGGGCCGATGGGGAACTGTGACGCAAGGTCGGCCACAAACTGCATCTGACTCTGGTAGTTGTCGACGCCGATGCTGGCTGAAGAGTCGATGACGCACACGATGTCGGCGATGGCGGGAATACAGACAGCTGGGAACAAGGAAACAATTTGTAGCGCAAACTGTCTGCGTGCAAAAAAGCACTTAAGGGCATTATCACAGACAATCAATTAGCAAGTAGATACTATTGACTATAGTGTAGAAGGTAAAATGTTTAATTCCACATCTTCTAATATAAAAGCTTAATATTCTAACTATACAGTTTTTTTTAAAAATAAATCGTCGTTTCTAATTATATATATATATATATATATATATATATATATATATATATATATATATATATATATATATATATATATATATATATACTAGCCGTCCCGGCCAGGCCCTGCTCTGGTTTCTGTGAAAAACCTTTATGTTAAAGACCGTTACCTGTGTGTTTAGTAATCATCATAAACCCGGCATTGCCCACCCAAACCACAACCAACCAAAACAACAAGACGCAAACATAACGCTAACACAATTACAAATACAAACGAAAACAAAAACCTAACAACAAACCCAACCACAACCACAAACACCAATACGAACATAAATAAAAAAAAACGAAAAAGCAAACGAAAACAAACCAAATCCAAACGCAAAACCAACCACAAACACAAACCCAAAGAAAAAAACACAAACGAAAAAGCAAACGAAAACAAACCAAATCCAAACGCAAAACCAACCACAAACACAAATACAAACACAAACCCAAAGAAAAAAACACAAACGAAAACGAAAAAAGAAAGAACAAAAACGAACCAAATCAAAACGCAACCACTAACGCAAACCCAACCTAAACACAAAGAAAACATTAACGCGAACATAAACGCAAAGTGCTCACAGTCTAGCCTGGGGCAGAATCGCCTGTTTCAGCTTAATAATCGACTACAGTACCCCAACTTATTCATAGTCTTTTGCACTCACTTAAACGAACGTAGCTGCCAAACCAAACCAAATGAACGACTATAATACTCCAAGCTTATTCGTAAAATACCTACAACATTTGCACTTGATCAATCCCCGCTAATTATGTAATTATTTTTTTCCCAACACCAAAACAAAGTAATAAAAAGTAAATTCTTTTCCAGTAATGCAATGTTTTATAAAGGGAAGTAATTGTGTTTTCCTAATTTATCAAAGGGAAGTAAGTGCTAATGGACTAAATATAAATAATTTTCAGACATAATTAGAATATTTGTTATTTTTTTTAAATTTTGTTTTCTGAACATGCCGACAATTATTAGTATCAGTTTGAAAAATGAAAATTATTTCCCAACACTTTCAATAGTAATGTTTTAACTCATAAATTTAGACTATGAGTACGATAATAGTCTAACACTTAAATCCATCGAAGTATGTCAACGACAAACAAACTTATTTTTACATACAGAATTGAGCTTTATATATTAGATAAATATATATAAATATAAATATAAATATATATATATATATATATATATATATATATATATATATATATATATATATATATATATATATATATATAGGTACTAACCTTTGACACCAGGTAACAAAAGCAAGCAGACACACACAGTTAAGCACATAGAGGCTGCCATTGTAAAAACTCGTTATTTTCTGCTCTTGCTTCAGTAGCTGAAACATGTTAAAAATATTTTAAAATATGTTCTGTGATTTACTGCTCAACATTTTGAATACACTTTTTGTTTTCAGTAACTTCTAGTTTTTGTTATGGAAATATGTAAGTGATACATTTTTTTCAATAGGGTATGTTTTTCGACTAAATGGATCAACGACTGGCTTTTGAAAAATATGGCACGAGATGGTCAAGCCGATTAAGAATTAATTATTCCAGAAATGTCTGTGGATATTATCCATGCTTCTCCATGTGATCCTACTCACCTGGTCACTCACCAACTTCCACGTCTGCACAGAGGCCCCCTCTATGGTCAGACAGTGCTTATATGAAAACCTAGGTCACGTGATAATCCCACCATTGGCTAGAATTTGTTGCAAGTAGTTTCTAGAAAGCCCTGAGTTACGTCAGTGTGACGCCATCAGTAGCCCCATCACTTTCTCCCAGCGGTTCTCACAATATGGGGACCAGTGTCAGACAAGTCCTCGGGTCTCCTTTGAAAATTAAATGTTCGTCAAATTATTCTTTTAAATCTATTCCCCTTTATGACTCGTAGTTAAGTTATAACGTCTCCATTTTAACAAGGTATTACTCATGCAGCATAATCATCAATTTAAAACCCAATATCATCGTTTTATAAAAGTGCTCGACAATTCCTTATATAGCTAATATATTACTCATGCCGCATAGTTATACATTGAACACCCAATATCATCGTTTTATAAAAGTCCACGACAATTCATTATAACTAATGGCTTCTGTGAAGATACCAACATACAAACAAATGTAAACAAAGGGTAACCCGGACACAGTTATAACCAGTGTTTCTTCCAAACTTTTTTCTCCGGGGGGGCACTTGAAATCTTCGGGGGGGGGGGGGGGGGGCGGTAAACTTTCTTCGGGGGGGCGGACACTGTTAAAAGTATATATTTTCTATATAAATTATATAAATTTCATTTCGTTCGGGGGGGGGGGGGCGGTAAAAAAATTTCGGGGGGGCTTCGCCCCCCCCCCCGAAGAGATGCCTACAAGAAACTCTGGTTATAACGTTTGTCTTTCATCTTGTGTCTCTAAGTATCTTGAGGTCATGGTGGTCTATAAATAACCATATGTGTCAATTTTCCACCCTCGCAAAAATTGTTATCTATCAATTTTATTTAAAAAAAATATAATACGTAATACGTCCCATTGGTGTCGGCCCCACATTAAATACATCATCAGTAAAGCCAATATCCTGTCTGACGTTTGATTTTTTGTGGACCCTTACTCTATATCTAGTTCATTATCTTTGTAAAAACCAACTATGATTCACATACAGACAGGTCAGGGGTACATGCGAAGTGAAATGAGAACCACTGGCTTGTCTGTTTCGGTTTGCATAACCGAAAAGTAGATGAATTTCGCTGACCAAAACTCAGGTATCTAATGAACACACTCTCCTCGTCTGCTCCAAAGGTCAATAATCTCCAACCTAGCCTAAAACAGGTTCAGAAGAAGCATTGCGACGGTTTCGTCTTGGGTAGTTAGATCAGTGCGCATTAGTGCATACATTATGCGCACTAAATGAGTGCTCCACTGCCGTTCGTCAATACTTTTATCTTCTGGGGCAAACTTCTTGGCGAGTGTGTTAAAACATTCTTACACTGTTTGTTTTAGAGGCTGGCACGGTTAATAACGAGTAATAGATCCCGTTCATTTACGTAACGTGCTTATTAGGTGATAGTGACGCACATCTATCCTATAATGGAGTAGCTTTAATCAGTACGTAGGCAGACATTTGCATTAGGTGTACTTCTAATCCCACTTACACTGTTTTGTCTATGTCGTCAGAGTTTCTTCCAGGCATCTCTTTCATAGAAAGGCTACCGCCCCCCCCTCCCCCCGAACGAAATATAGTTTATATAGAAAACATACTTTTACCAGTGTCCGCCCCCTCCCGAATATATCAAGTGTCCGTCGGAGAAAAAAGTCTGGACAAAACGCTCTATGTCGTTCGCTTGAACATTTCTTTCTGTTAATTTAATTCTTATTTTAGTAATTAGAAAAATATGTCAATGTTGTCATAAATATAGTCATGGATGTTTTCCAAATATTTGTATTAACACATTGAGTGACTAGACGAGTATTGTTGTTTATCACTCATTACATGTTTGCGTTTGTTTCTATTAATGTTTGTGAGACCTTTTTGTGACGTCATGCAACTCAAGATGGATGAAAATTAGCAACATTGCGAAATCCAAGACTAAAACACTTATTAAATATTTAATTAAAAAAAAAACAACCAAGATCTACATCTGTTTTGTAATCGGGCAACTAAACGAAACATCGTCTTGATTCAACCAAGACAAGCTCCGCCCCTACATGAAGACTATCACGTGACACCCTCGACCTAGTTGAAGTGGTGTTCAGCAGGCCCTAACGTGTATGTAAATGAAGAGATCCAACCAACTCCCACTTCAGCAGCCAGGGGTGTTAGTTATCTCCCTTTAGAGTGATGCATCAATGAGTTGGGTTACTTACCCCTGTACTACACGCCGCTCAAAAAGTATAATCACGGGTCCTGGTAAGATTTAGACTTGTATGCATCAGACACATTGGTAGGAAATAAGGAATTAAAAACAGAGTTTCTTCCAGGCATCTTTTCGGGAGGGGCTAAGCCCCCCCGAAATTTTTTTACCGCCCCCCCCCAACAAAATGAAGTTTATATAATTTATATAGAAAATATATACTTTTAACAGTGTCCTCCGCCCCCCCCCCCCCCGAAGAACGTCTACCGCCCCCCCCCCCCCCCCCCCCCCCGAAAACTTCAAGTACCCCCTGGAGAAAAAAAGTCTGGAAGAAACACTGATTAAAAGTATTCACAAATTAGTGGAAGTCCTAACATAAAGTATACCGTATGAAGTAATTTGATTAAAGGGTCAAAGCTGAGTCACAATATTTCATCACAAACTTACAGTGTTAACACGGAATAAGATAAAAAAAATGAAAGCTTGATTTGAGATTTTATTTATAACCTAATTAAGTGTAACAAACAAACAAGTTAATTAAAAAGTCTAGTGACATTTAAGCGCAATTTCCTTATGTTATCTAAAAATAGCTCTGTCGTAGCGTAAATCAAGAGCAGGGTTAGTAAAACCATTGGTTAGTTATTAAAACTTTTTTTATTAATTTTTTTTTCAGTATTTTACATGCTTTATTTACAATAGAGTTACATGACTAAAAACCATTGCGCGCCTAGCTACCGAACGTGATGTCGCAGCCATTGAACGTGATGTCGCAGCTATTGAACGTGATGACGCGTGTGGTGTGGTTGGATAAAAATGCCTACTAATTCGTCCAAATTTTAATTAATTAAAAAAAATTTGTGACCGAACGAAAGGATATTTTTGAAAACTTTCTTCTGCAATATTGTTCTACATTATGGCAGGAATCGATTGGTACATGTTTCAAGTCGCTAAGTGGTCTGGTTGCCGAGATATGGGCCAAAACCTGCATTTTTTTGGAGTTTTTTTTGGCTTTTCCGGGAAATCCATGAAGAAACCCTGAATTTTTTTGGCTTATGTTCATCCTCGTACTTGCTTAACATAATTGCTTTGGAACTAGTCCTCGGTATTGCTTCGTTGAGGAGGAGATACGACTTAAGCTGCGGACACACATCCATCCATCCATCCATTCATTCATCATTCATACATCCAGAAATGACGAGTTAATAAAACACAATTCTCCAGAATGGAAATTGCGCTAAAAAAAAAAGCCTTTGCAGCTTAGCAACCTTAGGCAATGACACAATACATGTGTTGCGCTAAATAGTTACTATAACTGACTTAATTTCTAGAAAAAATCGTTATTATGACTGACTTATTTGTTAGGAAAAATCGTTATTAAAACTATAACTGTTATTTGCTTGGAAATAATCCTTGCAATAACTGACTTATTTGTTAGGATGAGCTTGTATTTTATCATACAATTTTGTTGCATGGTTACTGCCCATAACTTAGAATATGTATAACAGTCATCCCAGTCAACTCGTCTATACGGCCCATTGTATTCAAACAACTGGTGCGACTATCGACTAGTCACATGACTCGAAACTTGTGAAACGATTTCCTACAGTCCCGATTACGTCCCTGAGCCCACCCAGATTTAATGGGTACCCAACTAACTGCAGGGAAAGTAAGGCGGCTGGGCGTGGAATGGATGAACTCTACTTCATCTGCTCTATTGACCGCCCGATCCGAGCGGGTAGCTTTGTGCTGTTTACGGAAATAACATCGTGTGTGAGAGTAATAAATTTTGAGTTTTGCTGTTCCAAATTAGATGGGTAACATTGTC